CCCCAAAACCCCAAAACCCCAAAACCCCAAAACCCCAAAGGTTATTTAAACAGCTGATAGTAGATAAAATAATTAAATTAAACATGAGTGATAGAGACAATATGAGAGAAGGAAATAGCCATAAAACTCCAGGAGAGTTTAAAGGCTCTATCCTTATCGATTCTCAAAGACAGAAAGCGTTCCACCCCAGCTGTGTTGTACATATCAATGGGAAAAAATACAGACTCTGAAAGATGGATGCGAAGAGTAAGTAATCACTTTTTAATCTTTCGCCATTTTGCTGAATTCTAAAAATGTATAGAACTGAGATTCAGAATCTCAAAATTTTAAATCTTATTGTTAACTTGGAAGTCACTTCTTTACTAAAATTTTGAGCTTTTTATAGCTCATAGCTTGGAGAATGCTACTAATTGGTAGCTGAGATGGTAATCCATAGGGAAATTTAATGAATAGCATATCGGTTTACTCTTCAGAAGTATTCTAATTCCCAAATAAGTCTATAGAAAAGTTATCGCCAAGTCTCTTTAGCGTATTAAACATAATAGCAGAGCTTGATAAATTTTATGACTCATAATTCAAACTGAAGTAAACACAATAAATTCTACTTCTAGCATAATCTGATTGATTGAGGCTGGCCAGACTACTAAAATATTAAGGATGAAGCTAAATTTCAGTGATTTTTACTTTTATTCAAGACACTAGGTATCTATCCATCGCTAAATGATCTCCCTCATAGGTCCTGAGAGATTTCCTAGTTTGGTTTTAAATTAGAGATTTCTTCGAATGTAGCACTAAATCAGCATCATTTCGCCACAAATATCATAGAAAATGGTATTATTCAAAGAGATAGCTGTTTCTAAACAAAATTAGAAGTGCTCTGAAGTCCTTCTTGGAGAGATTATAGTGCTATATACTAAATATTCTGAGCCTCAAGCAAAATCTAGAAGCATTGAAGTTTTCCGACCTTAGCATTTTTATAATTTGGTGGAGTAGTATAGAAAAAATGGCATTATGCTAGAAGCACCATTTACCGTACTTGCTTAAGTCGGTTTATTAGACTGAAGATTGACACCACACGATTCTCTACTCTTCTCAAAGGTTTGGCAATTCAGTATTATATGAAGGGATTAACCTCAACACTTGATTTCAAAAATTTTGTGGGCATACTATTTATTTATACTTTAATATTGTGAGCTAACTCATGATAAACTGCTTAAATGTCGCAATATGTCCTAACTTGAGAAGATATTTAAAATAGTCCAAAACTCATTGTATTTTTGGTTCGAGCTGCATGAAGCCTATCTAGTTCTAAGAATCCTTCAGCCAGATGCTTAATAGAGAGCTCATAGCAAATAAATTGCTAGTTTATTCTAGTAAAATAGGGATTATTATTCCAAAATATTTTAGCATCCAAATTTTCGAATGAATGAAATTTGGTTAAAGTCTTAATTTTTAGTATTAAAGTGGTAGTGCAGTGCCTGTCAAGTCCTATTTCATCTTACCCAAGAATCGGGCTAATCTAGTAATGCTTAATTTCTAATTATAAGCTGATCATAATTTTATGAAAACTCATTCTGAATATGCTTGAGTTCTCTAGGCTCATCTTCAACCTTTTATTTATGAAAATCTTCATAAAACCCATTCCCTTTACCACTCTTTCTGATAGCTTTGCTTTCCATATTTAGCAGAGAAGTTTTGCATATTGTAAGCTCAGCAAGGTCTACAAATTTGGAATTTTAAAGATCCTTTTATAACTAGCAGGAGATGTGCCCACCAACGAAAGAAAAAATAGAGCATAAAGTTCATTTTCTATCAATCTTTTAAGGGCCTCCAGCAATTGAGCAGTTACTGCCAGATCCCTAAATTTATTTCGAATCAGTCTCGATTAGGTTGCAAGCTTTTCTGAGCATGCTAAATAGGCCATCTCACTAAGAAGAATTCAATCAGCAAATCTCTTAAAATCAACAATAGTTTTTACTTTTTGTTGCATGCTAAATTTCATACTAAAAATTTGGATTTACTTTTTAGAAGTATTTGAATAATTTATACAACTTTTTAAAGTCCCTCCATGGGTTCTCACCTTTGTTTCAGGAGCAAAAAGATTGATATCCAAACAGAAAATCAGAGAAAGATGCAATAGTTTGAAGAAGGAAGCCCAGTTTGAGTTCCAGCAGCTTCAGATTGAAGGTAAACCACTTTGATAAATTGTTTGCTATGAATAAATTATCCTCACCAGTTTTGGCAAAATCTATTATATAGGTTCCAACCAAAATATTATCTCAATGAAAGTACCGGTTCTTGGAAGAGATTCGGACATAACGAAGGCAGTCACCCAACCTGCGATGTTCATACCAACAGAGTGAAATGAAGTCAGCAAAAACATCACTAAGAGAAGCAAAAGGATCCAGAAAATTCTAAAAGGAATGCGAAGCAACTCTCCTAGACATATTCCTAAACATCAGCAGCTCTCAACAAACCTGGATAATAGAGCATACTCTAATATCAGAGTAAAGTCTCCAGGGGTCAGAAGGGCTGACTATATCCTTAGTATGCTAATCGAGAGTTCTGCTATCCCACAAATTACCCATAAAGTCGTACCCAAAATGTAAGAGTTTATTTGTGACTGAAATGCCTAATGTATCTTAGTAATAGCAAGGAACCGAAAGCACAAGAGCATCTTCAAAATCCCAGAACATTTCGAAGGGCTTTCAAGATTGAGGAAAATTCTACAGAGAGTGAGCCATTTTCCTTTACTACAACCAGGAAGCTTAGGCCCATTAGCGGGTTGCCAAGCACATTCAGCAAGAAATTCCAAAATATCAGAGGTATTATTAGTCATGTCCTTTTTAACCACTTTAGGTGCTCCTAGACCAAAAATAAATATTCTAAAAACAGAATTTTTATCTCCTAGAGTCGGTAAGAAGAGCCTGAGGACTAAGCATGACTTATCATCTATCTTATCAAATTCAGAAATCTCGATGATGAGGGACAAGATCATGAACGATTTAGCATCTTTAATATAATAATTCTACAGCTTTGCAATTATTTCATCAAGATAAGGGGTTTTGGGGTTTTGGGGTTTTGGGG